TGCCCCCATCGCCCGGGCACCGAGCGGCGCCAGGCTCCGGCGTGGCTGCGCCCAGCAGTGCCCAGGCTGTCCCTGCCCGCGGCCACGCACGTCTGGGAAGGCTCCACTGGCTGGGGTGAAACTGGGGAGCAGGAGAACTGGGGAACCGGGGCGCTGCTGGCGAAACCCACACGCCTCTGCTCCCCGTGCTGCCGTCCCCCTTCCCACCGCACGCCGGCTCCGCGCAGACCCTGCTGCTCTCCCTGCGCTGCTCTGCTGCAGGCCAAATTAATTGTTTCTAATAACCCATCTTTAAGTTACAGAACCAGGCAGGGGCCAGCTGATTTGAGGGCTCTCACGCCATTAGCCCTACTGCAGCCAGCGGTGGGCCAGGCAAAGCCCTCACTGCACCCCTGTGACCGGCTGGGACGGGGCCCCGCAGCCCCCTTCCTCTGCTGGGGGGGCTTTCACAGCCGAGCATCTTGGGCACCCCTCTGGGCCTGGGGAGAGCCGAAGGGGCTCCCACATGCCTGATCACAAGCCTCAGCTCTGGGAGACCAGGAGCAAACACCTCATCTGGTCCATGCCAGTGACGGAGGAGATGTCCCAGGCAGCAGGGAGATGGAGACGTCTGGTCAGGGCCTGCAGCCCCTGCCTGGGGAAGGTGCAGTGATAACACACGCTAGGGAAAGAAAGTGAAATAATAACCAGCGCTGCTTAATGCTGGGGAGTTTCCCAGGGGCAGCTACAGGCACCAGGGTTTGCAGAGCCAGATTTGCAGATGCTGGGACAAGGGACGCACCACGGGGGGAGAGGCTGAAGCACCTGGGTAGGATTTGCCCTACCCTGCCCGGGGTATCTCACCTTCATCAGCCTGAGCCCGGGGAGGGGAAGCAGAACCACTCACAGGCAGCAGCAGGTTCATTTCAGCACGCTGCAGGCAGCGCCTCTACGCCTGCCTGGCTCCCCCCACAACTTATCTGGACTCTTCCCAGATGGCTTTTATCTTTAAACTACCGTACAGCAATACAAAAAAGACAACAATAATTTAAGATCCTCTTTGAGTGCAGGCTAATACCAATTCACTCCGTTTGCCGAAGGATGGTACTTTCCCTTCTTTATATAGCCTCTGTGATTTTTTCAGCATATGCAGATAATCTCATGCTCCTCATAAACGCAGCCATAAACTTCCCTCCCTCTGCCCCCTCGGAAGTGCATAAAACCTGCAGGATAACCAGCATCACCCCAGGAGGCCTCTCTGAGGAGGCAACAGCTAAAACGGGGCAGCAGCAGCCAGGCAGGTCTTGGGGGAAGCCCCCAGAAACTGGCCCCATCACTCGCCTCTTCACAAGCCTGAGCGGAGCGGCGAGGGCAAGGGGCAAGCGCAAGGCCGGGGAGCCTGAACTTCCCTACGCGAAGGATCCTCTCCACCGCCGCGGGTGTACCCACCACGCTCCCGGCTGGCTTCAAACCAGGTGCTGCTCTCCCTCGGAGCCCGCCCGGAGCCAGCGGACACCTCTGGGGGCTGTCTGGGAGTCCTGCCCACGGAGCGGCCAGGAAAGGTTGTCTTCTCCTGAGAGATTTTGGACATGAAAAGCTCTTCCCGTACGGATGAAAGATCAACATCTCCGTGAATTATTTGGGGTCTGTAGAAAGGCAGCCTTCCCAGATTTCAGCCCTATTAGTTCTGGGTTGGTTTTTTTTGTTTCACATGCTAGATCTGAATTAATTAAGCCTTCAAATTCTGACTCATTTTCAAACCTGTTCACTAGAGCAGCTGAAAGAAGGTGTTCTGTCAACAATGGAACTTCCCCCCAAACACTTTAAAATCTGAAGGTTTATCAGAATCAACTTTAGTTTGCAAACTGTTTAGGTTTTGACTTAGCAGCTTTTTTTTTTGTGGCAAAAAGAACGGTTAAGAAACGCTCCCAGGCATCTCTGCTGCAGATTCTGGGAGAGCAAAGGGGGCTGGCACAGATCTCTGATCCTCAGCCAATTTCTCCAGCACCGGATTATAAGCATCCTTCTTCCTCTTGCTGGAGTGCAGACAAAAACTGCATGTTCCTGTAAAAGCCTCCAGCCCTAAAGAAGACAAAATGGTGTAATGTTTAACAGAGCACGGTCTGCTGGCCATGGCTCTGCGTCCCCGGGGTTATGCGTGGGCTGCCTGGGCCACTGCTGGCCCCCATCACCCCCAGGTAGCCCTGGTGTGGAAGACACCTCCAGCTGGGAGGCGGGGAGATGCCACCACGGGCATCTGGGGGCGTCGTCCCCAGGGAGCAAGTCGACCTTTCCGTGTGGGCGAATTAACGGAAGCCCCTTCCCTGGCAGCAGAAGCCTCCCGTCTTTCCGCCGGCTGCTCTTTCCCAATTCTTCACTGAGAAGGAAAACAAGCACTTGCACCTTCCCTCGGCCTCTGTGGATCTACCGAAGCTGGACATCCCCCCCGCCGGGAAAGGTGCCGAGGCGCCGGGCGCCTGGTCAGCGCCGGCCGGGGCTCCCCGTGCCTGGCCGCTTGGGACAGGGAGGTGTAAGGTTCTTCAGGTCCTGTCCGCGGCCCAGGATCTGTAGGCTGGGTGCTGCATGCACAGCTCCTTCAGCAAACATCTCCCAGTTTGCTCCCCACCGAGAAGCAGCATCTAGTTTTGCCAGGAGTCGTCTTGCTCATTACAGGTGCCTCCATCCTGCAGATGACAAATCGCTCCCTGAATGTGCGGGCTGCGCAGCGTGTCTCTGGTTGAGTTGCGATTTCGCCCAGAACCACATCCCCAAGAGTTATTATCGGTTTCATTAGATTAATGATTGCAGAACCACCAGCAGCATAGCAGATGAGGCATTTACTTTTGCATTCGCGTACAGTAGCAACCAGTTGCATGGTTTTGCTTAAATCAGGACAAGAGACTGACTGGAGACTGACACACTGAAGCGTGATTTCTTGCTGGCTTTAGCAGCAAGGAGACAGATTTATGATGCTTAAAAAATACCGACTGGACTGCGAAACGGACAGAAATCTTTCTGCTCTGTGCATAACCACACACAAAACTTTAACCCCTTGCATACTACAAACTTCTTCCCAGTCTATTCCCAGATTAGACTGATGGTAGAACCCCCCCTAATACAATGGGGTGGGGAAAGCAAATTAGAAAACATCCTCTCACTGCCTAGTCTGTCATCTGTGCTGCTAATAGTCATGAGTAGACCACATGGCGGGCATGCTGAGATAAAAGGAAGCTAAGAGATTGTTTGTACCGTTAATACATCTCATGATAAATGATGTGTAAAGTTTTACTGCAAGGCCTGTGAGCAGGGAACACCAGCTGAGGGAATGCCAGGCTGGGGGAAGGACCGAAAGGCAAACCTGGGGAGGCTGGGGAAGGGCTGGGAGCAGCCGGCGCCCGGAAAAGAGAGGCAGAGAAGGTTTCACGCCATCTCCTCCAGGGCCATGTGATACCCCAAAGCCATGGGATGCTGGATCTGATGGGGCCAGACGAGGGAGGTTGGGGCATCACAGCCACGCTGGGAGGTGAAGTTGAAGACTCCTGCGATAGCCGAAATGCTGAGGCAGCCAAGGTCAATCCTTTGCTCTTTGCAGGCTTTCTCGCTTTAACTTTCTGCATTTTTTTCTATGCTATGACCCAGTGTTAAATGGAGTAAAGTTACTTTTCATCCTGAAGCCGTCCCTGAGGTTTCTGGGCCCTCCTTGCCCCTGGGAGCAGAGTTCTATTAAAGAGGTGGCACCCTGGGAGTGGCGGGGCTGTTCGGAGCAGAGCTGCAGGGTCCGTGGCCAGGGGCTGTGTCTGCAGGAGGTGCCGGGGGGGTCCCGGACCACTCGCACTGCGACCCCCGGGGCACCGTCCTTTGGAAACCGCCTGGCTTCTCCTTAGCCAGGTCTACACAGCTCAGGGCTGTTAGTGGTGTCTGCTGAGGTCTCCCCGGCGCAGCAGCTGTGTAACAGCACGAGAGCTGCCGGCACAGCCTGCACTTTCCGTGCTCGCTCAGGCCAACTCTTCTGGTGCTTTGTCCTGGGCTCGTGGCTGCCGGGAAGCAAACGGTGGGACACCGAGCCCCAGTGCCCCGGTGCGCTGGAGCGAGCTGATCTCCATGCCTCCGTCCGGAGCCTGTGCTTGAGCCTCTCAGCACCACTCCAGGATCAAACCTGAGGGTCCCTGGGAAGCTGCCACCCACCTACATCTGCTTCTCCGTGCTGCATGTACCAGCACGAGCTCCTGCTGTGCGGATCCTGATGCTGGCGGGGATCCGTGACTGGCAACACTGCGAGCCCCTCTCCTCAGCTGGGGCTTTGTGAGATTCCCCAGGCAGAGGATTAATGCCATGGCTATCTCATAAATGCCATGCGAACATGAAGAGAATTGAGCAAATGATAAAATGGAGATGAATTTTTGGGAGCAGAGAGATTGAATAAAGAAGGCATCAAAACATGCAGTTTATGCACAGGAAAGATATATCTTGGCAAGGACTAATATTTTATGTGGTGCAAATAACTCAATAGTAACAGACATGCACATGCAAAAGCGTGGTATTAGGAAGAAAGTCCCGGTTTCCCCCGCTTCTCCTCGGAGCACCTGACAAGCCCATTGAACACCGTCCTCCTCCCCGCCCTTCCCCTTCGCCAGGGGCTCTCCTCGCCCCGCTGGAGCCTGCCGTGTCGAGGCGGGGTCGTGGCTCCGGCTCTCGGGTGCGGGGCAGCACTTTCTCCCGATGACACGGAGCCAAGGCCGTGCGCAGGATTGGGGCGCAGGAGCACGCAAGCCCACGCTCCCCGTCGCGCCTGGGGCGGCCTCGGCCCCTGCTCCCGCCTGCCGCAGGCGTTTCCCTCCACACGGGGGATGCTCTTCAGCTCAGCAGCGTTCACCGTGACGCTCGGGGGGCTGCCGTATATCGAGGCTCTTCGGGTCCGCCCCGGGGCAGACAACATGCCTGGGGACTTCTGAGGACCGTGGCCTGGACGGCGGGAGCCAGCCCGCGGCGTGACGGGGAGCCGGGGCCCCTGTGCCGCTCACCTTCTCGTCGGGAAAGGACTCTGCCACCAGGCAATCAGGACGCCTTTCAGAAAGTGTGCTTTAGCAGGCTCCCGGCGTGCTTCTGTGCCAGACCATCTGTCTGTGCTCCCCATCTCTCCTTGCCACAGCCAGAGATTTGCACAATCGAGCACATTTAACTGTCACTGGAATCTTCCTACCTGGCGCGAGGGCTGTAAGCCTTATCTGCATTTAGGAATTGTGCTAAGCCAGCAGATCTCCTGCATATTTGCTCTTTGAAACCACGCTATGAAAAGCTCTGGCAGGAGGGCCACATAAAGGGAAAGCCCTACATCTCCAGCCTACAGATAAAGCTTTGCACCATACAAGACATTTCGATATTTTATGCTCCAATTTGGCATTGCTCCAGAAGAGCTGAGTTATCTTAAGCTTCGTAAATGCAGAGCTAAAGCATTAGCAGGGGAGTTGTTCCGAAGTCAAGGGTTAGAGGCGCACAGCAAAGAGGGTCCTTACGGGGCACCCTCCCCCTGGCTTTGGGGGATGAGTGCAGGAGCACAGCCCCCGCCCCGGGGAAGCCGCACCACGCTCACCAGCGCTAAGCCTGCCGAAGGGCTTACTGAAAAACTACAGCAAATCAGCTCATCCAAGCTCCTAAGTGCCCAAAAGCATCAAAAAGTAAAAATGTATTTTAAGTTCTGGTGATTAATTAGGATGATGGATGGGGACACAAAGCTGGTGATGGCGCTTCCTTCGCACAGATGCAGGAGCTGCTCCGAGCGGAGGATCCGACATGTCCAGAACAAGATGCTGCTCTGGATGGTCATGGCTCGCGCAGCCACGGAGGACGGCAGGACGCGAGACCGCGGCCACCCAAAACCTGCCGGGGGCTCCTGCCCGCGGCGGCACAGCCAGAAAGGCGCGAGTGAATCAGATCTGCGTGCGTGCCCACCCTTGGTTGCCCATTTTTGCAGGAGCGGATGGTAGGAGCTGAACAGCTAAAATAGGCGGTCTTGAAATAATCTTGAAGGAGAGAAGCGAGGCAGCTGCTCAAAGGCTTGTGCCAGCCTGGAGCTGAATGTCGCTCAGGAAAAGGTGCCGCAGCAAAGGAGACCCTGCGTCTGATCAGGAAGCTCAGTCAAGAGCTGGAGCGTTTAAACAGCAATAGCAAAGGAACTGGGAAACAGAAAACAGGAAAGAGCAAACGGCTTTTAAACAGTGGAAATGTTCTGCTATGGAGGAGGAGGAGGGCTGAAGAGGGAGGATTAGCCAGCTATAAATACAAGCAGCACTGAGTTAAAAGGCTAATTAGAATAGCAAAAAGAAATACAGCAGCACATTTCAGAGACTATTTCAACTAACAAAGAGTTTTTCAAATCTGTTTGCAGGAGCGAATATGAAAGAGAAAATTGGATCCCTATGAAATGATCTCAAGAATTGGAGGAGGAAGAAGGTAATGGCAGATCTCTTAAACAGCTCCTCGAGCTCCCTGACATCTTCATCTGCTGCAAAGGTAGAGGGAAAGACGACAGGCCTCAGTGTTCACGTCTAGGGAGGAGAAAAGAGCCGGTAACAAAGGACGGGTTTGTGAAGAGATGGGGCACAAAGGGAAAGGCCGGGCATTCCTCCCCGGGCAGCCCGGAGAGAAGCAAGAAATCAATTTATTTCAGGTTGAACTGGAAGGGCCTGAGCCCCAGGGTGCTGACGGTCCCATGACGCCGGGTGCAGGGCAGGCGCTGCGTCTCCCCGCTGCCACCCCCGAGCTGGCCCGGACGGCTCCGGGGGGCTGCGAGTCCCTGCGGCCGCACAAGAGGCGGCTCCCGGGGTGTCGGAGGCGGCACAGAGCAAAACCACGCTCTGTGGAAGTGAATCATCGAGCCCTGGGTGATTTATTACCTCAGCACATGCCAGAAATGGCTTTTAGCTTCCCCAAAGGCTGGAACAGATGGTCCCCAAGTTCCTAACCTATCAATACATACATGCACACACATGTACATACACGTACACACGTGTCTATAAACATACACTGCCGCAGCGCCGCGAGCTGCCCCGGGCCCCAGCACACCCCGTGCCGCGGGGCCACGGCCGCTCTGCCACCCTCACCAGCGCGGGTTTCCTGCCAAAAGTTGTGATTGATCGTCCTGCAGCCCCTCCGAGACTCAGGGCGACGCCGGAGCGGCGGCGAGGAAGGACGTGTCTCTCTGTTGCCCGTAACACCCTGATTTCCCCACTCTTTGGGACACAGGCGCATTGCAGCCCGACGGAGAGCGGAGAGGGTTTGTCCCACAGATCTGCTGGGCAGAGGCAGCACAGAAAACGGAGACTGTCACCAGGGCAGGGGCCAGTTTGGATGCACACGCTCCATCTGGGTCCGGGCTGCAGCACGAGGGGGTCGTCCAGGTCCCTCTGCAGCTGGAGAGGAGGGACCGGACCCCAGACCTCCCACCCAGGTAAGCAGCTGAGGATCAGCGGGAGGACTTTTGTTCTTCATCCCTTCATGATATCACTGGCGGCTGCTGTGACCAGAGCCAGGGTCAGGATGACATCAGGCCGTTAATGGGACAAAAGGGTGACAAGTGGGGATGATTCAAGAACCAGGGCGGGGCCGGAGGGTGGAGGTGGTCAGAAGGAGCAGACGCTCCGTCTCCTCCCTGGCAGGCAGCGGGAGCTGGCGGTGACCCCGCGCATGGCAGCGCGCAGACAGGGACGGCACGAGGGCTGGGAAAGGGCTGCCGGGCTGGGAACCTTCTGAAATGAGACTAATTGCATTGTCTAGCAAATCGTAACAGCAGCGATGATACTCTGCTCTTCTCCAAGGATGCAGAGTGGCTTTATGAGCACTAATTAACTCAGACTCGTACAACGCGGCAGCGAGGCAGGTGCAATTAGATCCACGGAGAGGGGCCGTGGTAGCGCGGGGCGGCACACGCAGCCCGGGAGATCCCGCAGTACCCCAGGGGCTACGGCCCTCCCCGGGGGCGATCACAGCCCAGGAGTTCCCGCTCCCAGGGCTCTACTAATTCCCCATCCCAGCTCCCTGCACGCTCACATCCATATTCATCATCACTGCCTAGAACAAACATAAGGCAAAACCACGAGGAGTAGTTTTGCTGATGAACAGCCACCAGCTGCAGCCCTCTGTCCTGCCCGGGTCCAGCTGAGTCCGTCTGTCCTCCCGACCTCCCCGCTGTGCCTGTTCCTCTGCTCCTGCCTGGCCCCCCGCAGGGCCCTGCAGCTCCCCATCAGACTGGTCGCAGCATGCGGTGTGTGCTGGGTGCGAGGCAGCCTCCCCCAGCTAGGACACAGAGCGGGGTCCTGGGCGCTCGGCGCTGCGCCCCTGCCCTCTCCCCACTCGCAGCCACGCGACCCCAGCCAGCGAGGCGCCCACACGGAGCAATCTGGGGTGCGGAGCAGGGGGGAGAGGAGCAGAAAAATTCACAGACGTGCACCTCAAATGAAATATTTTTAAGTGAGTTCCCATGAGGTGCCAGCAGCTCTTTAATATGATGCTGCCTTTGCTGGGTGATCCTGCCTTCGCTCCAGCTGGTGAGGAGAGCGGCTGCCAGCTGCCCGCAGGAAAGGGAAGGCAGCAAAGTCCCCTCTCGCCTGGAAAACCTGCGCTGGCTCATCCTCGAGCACCGCTCTTGACTCTACAAAAGAACAGCCTCTTGCAGCGGGTAGCAGGGTGGCAGCAGGACCGTCAGCAGCAAACGTGTGAGGCCAGGGACGGCTGCCGTGTCCCCAGCAGGGAGTGGAGCGCCCAGCCACAAGGTGCAGAGGGTTTTGCTCCGAAATGAAGAGCTTTGTTGTTCTCAAAAGGGTGGAACTGGCTGTAGCCTCCTGCATCGCACCACCCCGCCAGCCCTGCCCCTGGGCATCGCGCCCGTCCTCCAGCGGCCAGCGGCGGGCGCAGCCCCACAGCGGCGCTGCTCC